CAGAAACAGATAGAGAGAGAGAGAGCGCGAGCGAGCGAGAGAGAGAGAACGAGAGAGAGAGAGAGAGAGAGAGAGAGAGAGAGAGAGAGAGAGAGCGAGCGCAAGAGAGAGAGAGAAGCAGAGATAGAGAGAGCGCGATAGAGTGCAAGCGAGAGAGAGAGAGCACGAGCAAAAGAGAGAGAGTGCGAGCAAGAGAGAGCGCGAGCAAGAGAGAGAGAGAACGAGATAGAAAGAGAGAACGCAAGTGAGAGAGAGAAGGAAGAGGGAGAGATGGAGAGAGCGAGAAAGATGGAGAGAGAAAGAGACAGGGAAAGAGAGAGAGAGAGAGAGAGGCAGAGAGAGCCAGAAAGAGAGCGATAGAGCGCGAGCGAGAGAGCGCGCGAGCAAGAGAGAGAGAGAGAGAGACAGAGAACGAGAGAGAGGGAGAGAGTGAAAGTGAGAACGAGAGAGAGAAAGAGAGAGAGAGAGAAAGGGGGAGCGCGATAGAGTGACAGAGCTTACAGATTAGGACAGATTATTTACAGATCTTACTGACAGATTAGGGTGCGATGTCGTTGTTGTCACCAACTGATGACCGAGTGAGTGGCTGATTACCGATGAAGCCCTTCTCCTGTCGCGTTAGCTGCAGCTCTCTCTCTCTCACACACACACACACACACACACACACACACGCACGCACGCACGCACGCAGGCACGCACGCACACACACACACACACACACACGTATTGCTGTCGGCACAGAAACGTACAGCGACCCTCGACAAGCGAGCAGTTTTTGTGTGTTGCATAATATAATGTTCATCTCGTTCCGCACGTAATGTCGCATGTCAACCTGGCTTGACAAATAACGCGTGACAGCGCCGACACATGTAGAGTGAGTGACCAAGTGTCGGTTCAGCTAAGCTGCACCGTGTGCGTGACCAGAGCTAACACGCTACCGAGCTAAACCTGTAAGACGACCTCGTGACGAAGATCCCCACAAACGTTTGTTATTACATTCTACGCTTATCATCGTATATTAGTTTATAAGAGCTCTGTAGCATGGTAACCCCCCCCCCCACCGCGCCCTATGTGAAGACGCCCCCACCTGCTACGTTGCGCATGCGCCGGGAAAGGTCACATCCTAGAGTCACAGTTATGACGCACCCTGTAATACGTACTAGGGCCCGTGCGCAATGTAGAGGGAACGTTGGCGATAGCAGATGTTTAGCACGGCACAGCTTCTATAATTTACTCCTACGGGCGCCTATAATCTATTCATATAGGCGTGTATAATAAATTGCTATAGGTGTCTATAATCTATTTATATAGGCGTCAATAAACTATTCCTATATGTGCCTATAATCTATTGCTATAGACGCCTATAATCTATTTATATAGGCTTCAATAAACTATTCTTATAGGTGCCTATAATCTATTGCTATAAACGCCTATAATCTACGAGTATACGCGTCTATAATATATTAGTATACGCATTTATAATATACTAACATAGGCGCCTATATATATTATACTTACAAAGTACTTTAATTCCACAATTCGTCCGAAACCTCAAAGCGTGTAAGAGAGATTGGCTTGCAGAGTTAATTGTACTCTAAAACTATAAAATTACTCTAAAATAATACAAAACTAATACAAAAAATACTATAAAATTAGGAAATTACTACCGTGAAGTGTATATAGCCGATCTTGTATAGCGAGTGAGTGATGAGCGAGTGAGTGATGAGCGAGTGAGTGATGAGCGAGTGAGTGATGAGCGAGTGAGCGATGAGCGAGTGAGCGATGAGCGAGTGAGCGATGAGCGAGTGAGCGATGAGCGAGTGAGCGATGAGCGATGAGCGAGTGAGCGATGAGCGAGTGAGCGATGAGCGAGTGAGCGATGAGCGAGTGAGCGATGAGCGAGTGAGCGATGAGCGAGTGAGCGATGAGCGAGT